TTTTTCAGATACAGATTGTAAATGGAAATTAAATGACTAGTTTAAATTTACAGAGTAATGACAGTTCAGACTCAAGCTCAGATTTTCCACCAAGAAATCTTACTGGTATCAAAATTCTAGTCAACTTTTATTTAAAAAAAAAAAATCACAGAAGCTCTAAATATTTCCTCATCTTTTTTTCTAGCATAAATAAGCCTAAAACATATTCAACCTTTACAATATATGAGCCTCTCCTCTGATTCTCCCTGTTCTCATCCGTTTAGTCCTAGGTGGATCACTCAAGGTTTTCAAGCCATCTATCCCGGCAGATGCTGCTTGCATGTTTTAAGTGTCCTGCTTATAGCAAAGTCCTCAAATAAAGCAGAGGATCTATGTTTAAGCTCATCTTCAATATAAATAATCCGACTCCAGCCAATTCTCTTTAAGAAGTTTGTCCTGACTTCCAATGCAGCATTAGCCACATTCCATGCCGGGTTTGCCCATAGACACACCGATCACCAGCTAGTGCAGCAATAAAATATGCCCACATGTCTTTTTCACCCATAGGCTCTGTGAAACTGATGGGCACAACATCTTAGACACATTTCATGACTGCTTCAGTAGTACCCAGAATCTTACAACCTTTTAGATTTTTTAAAATATGTAAATGCTTGTCCTACTTAATGCATAAAATAAATAAGATCATTTGTGTGGAAGTATCTTTTGTATTTATATAAATATATTTATACCTTATATGGCATAGTTTTAGATACATTGTATATTCACAAGAAAGGTCTGAAAGGACCCAGCTATACGTCAATTACTCTCTAATTCTTTCTCTTTCTGAGACAGGGTCTTGCTATGTAGTCCAGGCTGGGCTTGAACATGTAGTTCAAGCCTCAGCCTCATAATATACAGAGTTTGGCTAACAGCTTGCCTTTGTTTTGTTTTTTTGTTTTTCTACACGGGGTTTTTCTGTGTAGCCTTGGCTGTCCTGGAACTTGCTCTGTAGACCAGGTTGGCCTGGAACTCACAGATCTGCCTGTCTTTGCCTCCCAAGTGCTAGGATTAAAGGCATTGGTTTAATGTGTACAAGCAGAACCAACACACAGTACCCTAATTACTTAGGAAAGTCTAGTTAAAATAAAATGCATTTTATTTGGGAACTGAAGGCAGGAGTTTCAAAAGTTTAAGGCTATCTACTGCTATACACCAAGTTAAAGGTTATACCAGTTCAGGGTATAACCTTAAATTTTTTTTTTTCTAAGCACTTTGTAATCCCAGCTACCCAAGAGACTGAGGCAGAAGGATCATAAATTTAAAGCCTTTCTGGACTATAGAGTGAATGTAAGGCCATCCTGGTCTACATAGTGAAACACTATCTAAAAATTAAAAAACAAAACCAAACAAAGAAACCCCAGAGACCTCTGGATGCAGAGTCAGGTTCACCTCTGAGTTCAAGGCCAGTTTGGTCTACATGAGTTTCAGGGATATACAGTGAGACCCTGTCTTAAAACAAACAGAAAACCACAATAGACAAATAAAAATGAAAAAGAAGGAAAAGGAGACTGGGCATTAAGCTTGGAGACAGCACTTGCTTTGCACATGTAAAAACCTAGGTTCAACTGTCAAGAAAATAAAAAAACCTTCCATAAGTACTGCCTGTCTTCCGGAGTCTGTCTGTGTGTCTCACTGTGGCGTCCACAGTGGCCTTGAACTAACGATGCTCTTGCCCTAGTCTTCTCAGTGCTGGGTTACTGGTGTGAACAACTCCCAACTTTATAGTAATTTTCAAGCACTTTATGTGTTAGGTGGAATCACATGAAGGTCTTCAACCCCAAACTATTGAACACAGTCACAACTTTCTACAGTGAAGGCTGATAGTATGTCATGTAACCCTTGTAACAATGTTACATACAAAGCTGTCAGGACAACCTGGCCCCAGACTCCATTTGAACTACAAAGCTGCAACAACACATGCCATTTTCTTTTCTTTTTAAAAAAATCCTACATGAACATCTACTCATTAGTGGACAACCCATACTGCTCTGTTCAAAATCCCTAGTTATCCCTGGACACCTCATATTAATGTACCCTGTGATTTTAGAGAGCAGGGACAAGAGAAAAAAAGCTGTCGTGGAAACGTCAGTACACACCCATAAACAATGCTGTCTTCAACTATTTTTTTTAATGATTTTATTTATTTAATATGTATACAACATTCTGCTGCCATGTATATCTGCACACCAGAAGAGGGCACCAGATCTCATAACGGATGGTTGTGAGCATCCCCATGTGGTTGCTGGGAATTGAACTGAGGACCTCTGGAAGAGCAGTTGGTGCTCTTCACTTCTGAGCCATCTCTCCAGCCCAACTCCAACTATCTGCCTGCCTCTGCCTCCCGAGTGCTGGGATTAAAGGCATGTGCC